TGCCTCCAAAATGTCCTACACGGATCCTTAATAGGCCGTTGCCTTCCTTAATGGAGTTATTCTGACCTGCCCAGACTTTTGACAACATGGAGCTGAACCTTTTTTGATATTTAGGTATTATTTCCCCAGCTGATGCTCCACAGAGTACTACTAAGGCATAGCCTCTACGTCTTACTTCGGTTTCTCATTGCTAGCGTTACCATGCACTTATAGAATAAAAAGCTTTGGGCGACAGCAAACTGTCCAAACTTCTACGCCGTGACCATGGACGACAACTTCTTAAGGGCGATGTTCTTAGAACGGCTGCCCACATCGGTCCGAAAAGTCTTGGTTTCTGGCTCAGATTATTCAGACATTTCGAAGCTTACTGGATCGGCCGATCATACCATGGAGGTTGAGCATTTGTCCACGAAAACTCTTGCGCAAGTTTCACAGTCTTTGACATAGTCAATCCCTGGGCTGATCGAGCTCAAACACTGTGTGCTCATCTTTTGGGAACTATTTGCCATCTGCAGCTCCGCATATCTGCTGGTCCATTCCGGCGTTCTATTAGCCGCGACATGCGTCCTTCCCACTCTTGCTCTAGAACTGCCAACTTGCACTGGTATCTTGTTAACTTTGGCGAATAGGTTCAATGTTGTGCCCCGACCTGTTCCTTAACGTCCTTGCGGGGGATCTCCTCGGGCGCAGAGTAAAGGCGGCCGAGGTGTCTGATAACTAGCACGTTTAACGTCTACGAAAGCAAAATTGGCAGACGTTTCCTAATCGACATTGACATCTTGGTATCATTCCCTTAGCAAGCCGGCCGACATTACCCCACCCATAGTCTTCGGCTCCGAAACGTAAACTCCTCCCAACAACAACTGTTGGATCCCGTTTCCTATCCTTTTGCATCAGTTTCCGATGGCTATTCCCTGGGATATTTATGCTGCTTAATTCTCAAATCGCTTTCTTTGGTGCTGACTTGATAGCCACTTTCGGCCTTCTGAATGAATTCAGGCAATTTCGCCTTCTTTATAGTGTCAACTCCTCTTTAAAAGGTTATCCCCCCTCCTCAGTATCCAACGTTCTCTCCCTCCCCAAATCCGAACTCACGTCGTCCATTTCGGGAACTATTAGTCCAGCATTCTAAGCTTACCAAGCCGAATTTTTCCGATTCCTTATTACCCCACAATATTATCCATCCCATAAAAGTGACTGGTTCTCCCGTGTTCTCTCGTCCCGCCGCCTTGCGCCATTGGCCTTTCGACTGCCAAACGCCTATATGAACACATGTTGCAATGAGGCACTGTTAGACAGCCCGACAATCCCTGGCTATCGCATTTACATGTGGTTCCCAGATCAAAAGGTGGATGACTGACAACCTTGTGGCTATTGTTGAACCACGAACAATATCACCTTTCTCGGTCAGTATCCGGTTCCGCATGTTTAGGCTCTATTCCGTATTCTCGATGATTGACCCTGTCCGAACCTTAAACCAAATTATGATTGCCCCGGAGGGCGTTTCGGAGACGGATTTCAGCATACCCTATTTACTCTTTGAATTCTCGTTTATGCCTTTCGGTCTTCGAAACGTCTCATGAACATTCCAGAGTTACGTGGATAGAGTGTTTCCTATTATACCCTTTGTATAAGTCTGCATTGAAGATTTCCTGGTGGCCAGCAGTATTGCCGGGGAACATATGAAACATCTCGTAACTGTGTTCGACCGCCTTCAAGAGTTTGACGTTGCCCTTAACCCGTCCAAATTTATTTATTGCCAGTTCATAGGTAAGGTTAAAAAAGCTTAATTGGTAACGCACATCTTGTGTACCTTCTTAACCCTGGAAGACAGGAAAAAACCTAAAAAAACTTTTGCGAAAATTCCCATTGAAGATGTCAGAAGATAAATTGGCGAACATACGTTTGTTTTCGATAAATTCTCGTCAGGCCTTTACATATATATGGTAATGAAATAAATAAACTATGGTGGTTGGTGGGCAGATGAAGTGTTATTGTTGTCAAGATCGGTGGGAGGGGGGGAGGGAAGGGGATGGGGGAGAGTTTTTATATGTGTATATGTATATATATATGTATGGGGAAGTTGCGGTCAGAGTGTCAATCTCTAGACGGCCCGGCGTCCAAGACCGCTGATAAGGTGTGCGTGGGTGGATTTGGGACTTGTTCGTCTCTGCGGGGGCCCGTTTCCAAGGCCTGTGGTCCGCCGTGGCCGTTCGGGTTACCTAGGTTCACCCATGGCAACTGCGGCGCCGTATAAAGATTGAAACTCTGACCGCAACTTCCCCAACTCTCCC